GACTATTACTACTACTACTACTACTACTACTATTACTCCTACCTCTACTATTGCTACAACTAACCCTCTTACTACTACTAGTACTGCGACTACTACTACTACTACTACGATTACTACTACTCCTACTACTACCACTACTACAACGACGATTACTACTACTACGACGACGACGACTACTATTATTTTTACTACTACTACTACTACGACTTACTACGACTACGACTACAGTTTTTACTACTACTACTACTACTACTACTACTACTACTACTACTACTACTACTACGACTACGTCTACGACGACGACGTCGACGCCGTACTACTACTTTTATTTCTATTACTACTACTACTACTACTACTACGACTACGACTCTTACTACTATTCTTACTACTACTACTACTACTACTACTGCTACTACGACTACTACTTCTACTACTACTACTTTTACTACGACGACTATTACACCTACTACTACTATTGCTACTAGTAGTACTACTACTAGTACTACTAGTACTACTACTACTACTACTACTACTACTACTACTATTACTACTACTACTACTACTACTTTTATTACTCCTACTATTACTACGACTACTACTACTACTACTACTACTACTACTACCTGCTACTACCTACTACTACCTACTACTACCTACTACTACTACTACTACCTACTACTACGACTACTATTACTGCTACTACTACGACTACTTACTACTACGACTACTACTACTACTACTACTACTACTACTACTACTAGTACTACTACTACTACGACTACTACTACTTCTACTACTACTACTAATACTACTACTACTACTACTACTACTACTACTACTACTACTACTACTAGTACTGAGACTACTACTACTACTACTACTACCACTACTACTACTACTACGACAACGACTACTACGACTACTATTACTACGACTACTACAACGACTACTACGACTACGGCTACGGCGACGACGACTACTACTACTACTACTACTACTACTATTACGTCTACCTCTACTGCTGCTACAGCTAATCCTCTTACTACTACTAGTACTACGACTGTTACTACTGCTACTACTACTACTACTACTACCACTACTACGACGACGATTACTACTACTACTACTACTGCTACTACGACGACGACTACTACTACTATTATTTTTACTACTACTCCTACGACTTACTACGACTACGACTACTATTTTTACTACTACTACTACTACTACTACTCCTACTACTACTACGACTACTACTATTACTGCTCCTACTCCTACTACTACTACTACTACTACTACTACTACTACTACTACTACTACTACTACTACTACTACTACTACGACTACGACTACGTCTACGACGACGACGACGTCGACGACTACTACTATTTTTATTTCTATTACAACTACTACTACTACTGCTACTACTACTACTACTACTACTACTACTACTACTACTACTACTACTACTACTACTACGTTTACTACTTTTACTACTTTTACTACTTCTACTACTACTACTACTACTACTACTACTACTACTACTACTACTACTACTACTACTACTACGACTACGACTACGACTACGACTACGACTCTGTCTACTATTCTTACTACTACTACTACTACTACTACTACTACTACTACTACTACTACGACGACTACTACTACTTCTACGACTACGACTACGACTACGACTACGACGACTACTACAAAGGCATCCCCTAGGGAATCCTACGATTCCCTAGGGAATCCTATGGGAGTCCCACGATTCCCTAGAGAATCCCACGATTCCTAAAGAAATCTTGCGATTCTCTTGGATTGGTGGTCGCACTCCCCGTGTGCCAACGACCGTCCCGGCCCAGTGGCGTGGTCGGGGCGAAAATCCTAAAAACCCTCGGAATCCTGTAAGGTTGTTGGTCGCACTCCCCGTGTGCCAACGCCCTTCCCGGCCCCGGTGTGCATACGCCCCTCTCGGCCACGGGGGGGGGGCTAAGCTCCACCAGCACCTTCTCATGCCCTAAAGCTACCAACTTGCTTTTCCAAGAAGAGCGAGATCTCAACAACAAACCGGGGCCAGGACGGTGGTTGCAACGAACAACAACAGCAACAACAACGACAACAACAACGACAACAACAACAACAACGACAACAACAACAACAACAACAACTACAACAACAACAACAACAACAACAACAACAACAACAACAGCAACAGCCACAGCAACGAGGCACCGGACACGCTCGAGTTCGCAAGAGCTTCGGTTTTACGGACGTTTTTTGTCGGGCCCATCCCGTCTTTTGACGGCCCTCGGTGGCGCTGTTGTCTCGCAGCCTCCGCCGCCTGCCGGCTGCCCACCTTCGGGGGCGCGGAGGTGGCTCTCAGGCTGCCGGAGCCCGGGCCCGCCGACGCCTCGGACGGGCCCGTGCCGAGTTTTTTGGCGGCCCGTGCTCTCGTGGGACGCTCGCAGAATCTGGAGGAGGAGGAGGAGGAGGAGGAGGAGGAGGAGGAGGAGGAGGAGGAGGGAGGGGGAGGAGGACAAGTTAGGTGCGCTCGCGTCCAGTCTCAGCGTGGGGGTCTCCGTTCGTCCGGACGGCCCCGCCGGGCCAGCCCGAGGCGCCCGAAGCCGAGCCCGAATGCCGGCCGCAGGATCACAGAAGGAGGACCCCGTCGTCCTCTCTCAGGGGGGGGAGCAGCGCCCCCGGCGGGGGGGGGAGCAGCGCCCCCGGCGGCGAAAGGGCTACTGTTCTTCCCCCCGCTGCCGTGGCGGCCACGCAGCTGCGGCGTTTTTTTAGCCTCTGGTGCTCGCTGTGCCTCGCGTGACGTCGAGAGAGACGTGGCTCCAGCGATCGTGGGCTGCTCAAGCATGCATGGCTTCTGGCCCCAGCGTTTTTTGTGTCGCTGCGGAACAGAATCTCTTGGCATCGCTCGGACGTGTGCATTTTTCCTTCGGCGAGGACCATCGAGGAGCACCCTCGATCATTTGGCGAAAAAGCCACGCACGAAACCGACAAAAACACAGGGAATGGACGTCCGAACGATGGCCAGTCAAGCATACATGGTTTCTGGCCCCAGAGTTTGAAACAGAATATTGGACACGCGCTACGTTCAAACGGGGCCGGGACGATGAGAACTCCGTTCCGGAGAGTTCTGGGATGCTCTCTTCATTCCGCCTTTAGCGTCGATTTGCGTCAATCAGCGTCTTGGAGTCGGTTAGGCAGAGCCGATTTAGCGTCGGTCATCTTCGACTAGCGTCGATTAGCAGTGACTTGGTGTCGGTCAGCGTCGATTCGCACTTGCCGACGAGACGGTACAGGGTCCGGCTTGAATAGGGAACACTTTTTTTGCAAAAGGGGCTCGGTCGTCCCTTTGGTTTGCATGCGTTCTGCTACCTTTTGGGCGGCGAGCCCCCTCTGGTGCTCCTTCGGACTTCCTAGACTGACCCGGAAACACAGGGGCTTCGCTCCTTATTTATGGTTCCTCAGGTCGAGTCAGGCCGACTACAGTCGGGGCGCTGAAGAAGGAACCCTTTTCGTTGGGGAGGGGCTCGGTGTTCCTTGATTGTTCCAAAGTTTGCCTCGGGTTTTCCCGAGGTTTTCCATTGGACATCGAGGTTGGACCTATGGGAAAAAGGGGCCTCGTTCCTTATTTTTGGGGTTCCTTAGGTCAACGCCTCGACGGAGGGGAGGACGAGGACGAGGAGGAGGAGGAGGAGGAGGAGGAGGAGGAGGATGTATAGGAGGCTCCCACGAGTGGCCACCGAGCGCGCCACGCCTCCCCGAGCCGTGCGCTGCGGGGAGCTGGCCTCGCTCCGCGTGCACGCGGACCTGGCCTTCGGCGCCGCCGGCGCCGCGGGGGGCGCGGTGCCGCCCCGCCGGCCGGCCGAGGGCGCGGCCGAGGGCGCGGCCGCGGGCTGCCTGGACCTCGAGGTGGATTCCTATGCATCTTCGGGGTGCCTTTCCTGTCTAGCGAACTCGGAGGAGGAGAAGGTGTCCATACCTCTGCCCCGTCGCTCGTTCTCTTCTCCCTTTTTGGGCCTCCCGGGAGGCCCTCGTCGCCACCGCTGGAGTTGCCTCGAGATCCTGGTGAGAACGCGCTCCGGGAGAGGTCCGCGGGGTAGCGGTATCGGTACCTTTTGGGTTCCCCGTGTGTGGCAGTCTGCTCTTGCACACCGATGTTGGCTCGACGCGGACTCGACGTGAGTTCGCCGTGGATCCGGCTCGGAGTGGACACGGATTCGACAAGGCACGCATTCGGCGCGGATATCCGACGCGGGCGTCGCTGGCGCGGCGGGACAGACGTGCGGGCAGTGCTCATAGCCGCATCCAGTGCGTCTTGGAGTTTGGGGCCCTCTTCCCCAGACGCAGGAGGCGCACCGGAGACGGCTCGTCTTTTCTCCATCTCCAGTGCGCCTCGGCCTTGCGCGGCACCCCTTCCGAGACAGTCCAAGACGCACCGGATAATGGACATGCAGGGTCCGGCTTGAATCAGGAAGACTCACTTTTCAAGAGGGGCCCGCTACCTCATTGGCGGCGAGCCCCCCCTGGTGTTCCCTCGGACTTCCTAGATTCACTTGGAAAAAGAGTGTCGGGCCGAACGAAAGGGGGGGATAGGGAAAGGGGGGGTTACGAAATCTGCTGCATGCAGCTGGTTTCAGCCCCAACGAGGGGCCCCTTCCTCGACACATGGCAGCCTCCGGCGCCAGGAGGCGCCGGGCAAATCGGCTATACGCGAGCTGAGTCTCACCCCCCCCCTTTGCTATCCCCCCCCGTTTCGCCCGCCCCGAGCGGGGCTCCGTTCCTTATTGTTCATCGTTCCTTGAGTCAGGCCGCATCCTGTCAGCATTGCCCGCAGGACCCTGACCTTCCAGAGTGGTAAAAAATAGCACTCCAGACCTAAAGATCTATCTGGACTGCCTCAAACCTCGACAGGAATTAGGACGTCGACGTCCTGGTGCTATTTTTTAGCCCTCCTGGAAGGTCAGGGGAGGAGGCCCCCCGAGGATGCGGCGGCATGAGGTGGAGCTCGTTGGCGCGGCGGCGCCCGCGCGCTGGGAGGGCGGGCAGGCCCTCGGGGGGGGCACCGCCGCGTGGCGAGAGCGGGAGGGCGAGCTTACCAGCCTGGAACATATCCCTATCCCTATGCTGGGCACCTCCTCATCACGATGCCAATCTTAGGGATTCCCTTATTGTTTGAGGGCGACTCCCTAAGATTGTCATCGCCTTTTGGCGTGTCAATCTTAGGGATAGGGATACGTTCGAGGCTGGTAACGAGCGGCGGGAGGGGCTCGGCTATACATCTGGAGGGAAAAAACACACAAAGACACAATTCAGCGTCGATCCCCCAGAAAAGATGGTAGACTACGGGAATTGGGCGGGAGGACAGAAACCCAGAACATATGCGGAAATATGGGGCAGATTTTTACTTGTGTGTATTTATCTGTGTGTCCCAGGGCCCCTTCGATACAGGCGAGGCTGATTAGTAGGTCGGCCCTGCCCAGTCAAGGGTACCCTCCGGAGGAGGAAAAGGTATCCATACCTTCTACCCCCTCGCCCGTTTTCCCCTTTTTGGGGCCTCCTCGGAGGCCCTCGTGGCCACCGCTGGATTTGCCTCGAAGTTCTGATCAGAACGCACTCCGGGAGAGGTCCGCGGAGTAGCGGTATCGGTACTTCTTGGTTTCCCCACATCAAGGGTACCCTTGTGTCCTGTGCCTCGCGACCCATGCCTCTACATTCATATAGCAGTGTGGCCCTAGGAAGAGTCTAGTGTCCTCTCGCGTGTCCTCTTCAATGCACCCCGACTGTACGTTTCGGCCTCCAGGGGGCCATCACAGGGGCTGGGACCGTCCACTGGGAGCTACTCAGGATGACAGTCAGAGGGAGAAAGGTACCCATATGCGGCTACCCTTCGGTCGGGCCTGCCCCCCTCTACAGGCGGAATATTCATGAAGTGGCAACAGATATCCTGGCGAAGAACCCAACCATATGCAGTTGTGGGTACCGCAATTGTGAATATCTTCTTCGGTGAAGCTCCCTATGGGGCCTCGAAGCGCTGCCCTGGGCGGGGGGACCGCATACGGGCGGTAGCACTGGGTCCGTCGGTGGAGCTCCCCACGGGGCCACGAAATGCTGTATTGGGTGGAGGGGACGCATGCGGGCGGTAGACCTGGAACCTTCGGTGGAGCTCTCTGCGTGGCCACGAAACGCTGTACTGGGTGGGGGGGACGCATGCGGGCGGTAGCACTGGGTCCGTCGGTGGAGCTCTCTACGTGGCCACGAAACGCTGTACTGGGTGGAGGGGACGCATGCAGGCGGTAGCACTGGGACCTTCGATGGAGCTGTCTATGGGGCCACGAAGCGCTGTACTGGGTGGGTGAAAATGTCAAATTTGATGTTTCGTGACGCAGGCGAACGGTGGCACTGGGGCCTTCGGTGGGGCTCCCTAAGGGACCACGAAACGCTGAATTGGGTGGGTGAACATATCAAATTTGATGTTTCGGGACGCATGCGGACGGAGGCACTGGGGCCTTCGGTGGAGCCTCTCATGGGGCCACGAAACGTTGTTCTGGGTAGGTGAGCATGCCAAATGTTATGTGTCGGGACACATGCGGACGGTGGCACTTGGGCCTTCGGTGGAGCCCCCCATGGCGCCACGAAACGTGGTACTGGGTGGGTGAACATGCCAAATTGGATGTTGCGGGGCGCATGCGGACGGTATCACTGAGACCTTCGGTGGGGCTCCCTATCGGGCCAGGTAACGCTGTATTGGGTGTGCGTGGCGCATGCGGACGGTAGCACTAGAACTTTAGGTGGGGCTCCCTATGGGGCCACGAAACGCTGTGCTGGGTGGGTGAAACTGTCAAATGTTATGTTTCGGGACGCATGCGGACGGTGGCACTGGGGCCTTCGGTGGAGCCTCGCATGGGGCCACGAAACGTTGTACTGGGTTGGTGAACATGCCACATTGGGATTTTCGGGACGCATGCGGACGGTGGCCCTGGGGCCTTCGGTGGGGCTCCCTATGAGGCCACGAAACGCTGTACTGGGTTGGTGAGCATGCCAACTTTGGAATTTTCGGGGCGCATGCGGACGTTATCATTGAGACCTTCGGTGGGGCTCCCTATGGGGCCACGTAACGTTGTATTGGGTGTGCGGGGCGCATGCGGACGGTAGCACTGGAACTTTAGGTGGGGCTCCCTATGGGGCCACGAAACGCTGTACTGGGCGTGCGGGACGCATGCAGACGGTAGCATTGGGACGTTCGGTGGGGCTCCCTATGGGGCCACGAAACGTGTGAGGAGTGTGTTGAAACCGGTGATGGTGATTATGATGATGATGATGATGATGATGATGATGATGATGATGATGATGATGATGCTGATGCTGATGCTGATGCTGATGCTGATGCTGATGCTGATGCTGATGCTGATGCTGATGCTGATGCTGATGCTGATGCTGATGCTGATGCTGATGCTGATGCTGATGCTGATGCTGCTGATGATGATAATGGTGATGGTGATGGTGATGGTGATGGCGATGGGGATGGGGATGGTGATGGTGATGGAGGAGGGAGGAGGGAGGAGGGGGGAGGGGGAGGAGGGGGAGGAGGAGGATGATGAGAACGCGTGGACCGTTATTTCAAAACGAGGACCCAGCACCACAGGATGGTTAGGGAATAGTATGCTGACGATTTTTCGATTTTGTTTGTGGTATCATTGAATATGTTTCTGGTCATGTTCCCCAAACAGTGCTTGCAGCACTAGGGTTCTTACTTCGGTTAACCATCTCGGGACCATCGCCGCGAAATCGCCATCGTGTCGCCCGTCGCCGCCATCCCCGCCCGTCGCCTCCCGTGCCGCCCGTCGCTGTCGCCGCATCGCATACATTACACCGCGTAGATTGCAGCACATAGATTGCACCGCATACATTGCATCACATATGTTGCACCGCATAGACTATGATACGTAGGTTGCATCGCATACATTGCACCACATGTATTGCACCGCATAGACTGCATTACATACGTTGCATCGCATACATTGCGCCACATAGATTGTACCACATATATTGTATTACATAGGTTGCATCGCATACCTTACACCACATCGACTGCATCGCATATACTGCATTACATTGCTTGTATCGCATACATTGCACCGCATGTTTTGTACCGCATAAGTTGCATTCCATGGGATACATCGCATACATTGCACCACATATATACATACGTATATATACATATGTACAACTATACATGCACACACACATACATATATATATATAGCACCGCATATATTGCATAACATAGGTTGCATCGCATGCATTGCACCACATAGATCGCACTGCATATATCGCAATAACCTACTGTTTGGGGTCCACGCTGGCTGACATTTTATTCTCTTCCAGAATTCGCCTTTACGAGGGCATGCCGGACCTAAAGCTACCCTTCTCTGGTTGTCTTTTTTTCTGGCCTCTTGGCAGGCCCTCGTCGCCACCGCTGGATTCGCTTCGTAATTCTGCTCCGAACGCACCCCGGGAGAGGTCCGGGGAGTAGCGATCTTGGCACCTTTTGGTTTCCCCAGAGAGGGCGGTCCCCGGAAGGGGTCCAGACTAGTTGGAGGCCACACTGTTACAAGAGAGCACGACGTCGGATGTCTGAGGAGGGGGCCCTTCGAGGGGCAACGGTCGGGGGGGATCGGCTCCAGGGCGGATGCGTCGGCCCCGAGACGCCCACTGCTCGCCGATTGGGGGCCAGACTGCACCTACCTGGCCCAGGACCGTGCGGGTTCGCTACCGCCGATCTATCGGCGACGCATCGCCGATTCCAGGTCGATGCTTCCCTCCGGGGTATCACTTCATTCTTTCCCTCCACCCTTTTTCTTCCCCCTGCCGGGGTGCGGTTCCACCCCCCGACCAGGTCTTTGTTCTTCTCTCTCCCTTTCTTTTTGTGCCTCTCCCACTTGTTGTTGGAGTGCACCCCTGTGGAGGGAGAAACACAAGTCCAGGGGAAAAGATATCAAGGGTTCCCCTCCACCCCCTGAGCTGCCCCCCTTGCGTTGCTCCTGGCCTCCTAGATGGGGTCGGAGCAGATGGGGTCGGAGGATCGTGCCGTATCGCCGATGCATCGGGGATGCAGCGTGGAGCCCAATGTGCTCCATGCCGACGTCGCCGATGCATTGCCGATACATCGCCGATGCATCGCCGATGCCTGGCCGGTGTACCTGCGAGGCGGCGAGATCCTGCGGCCCCGTCTACTCGGACACCATCTATAGGAGGCCTCCAGCTGCCCCTCCGCAGGCGGAGCTGGCGGAGCTGTCGCAGGAGGAGCGGCTCGCCCGCGCGGCGCGCCGGAAGGAGGCGGGCAACGCCGGCTTCGGGGCGGGAAGCTGCGCCGCTGCGGCGCGGGACTACGGCGCCGCCCTGGCGCTGCTCGGCTTCGCGGGCAGCCCCGAGGAGCCGACCTGGGCCACCCATGTGGGGTCCGAGTGCATCGATGGGTCGGAGAAGAAAAGACTACGTAAACATGGAGTTTTGGCGCTCTGGGCGGCTTTCTTGGATCGGCGCCTGGGCCCCTCTGGTGGCGCCTCCAGCGCCTCCCCTGGCGCGCCGCGCGCCAGGGAGGAGGCTCCAGCGCAGATCCCAGAAATCCGCGCGGAGCGCCGAACGTTTATGTGTATGCCTTTTTTCTTCCTCTATCGATGTGGTCGGAGGATCGCGCCGCATCGCCGATGTGTCGGCGATGCGGCTCGAGGTGGCGCCCGATTTTCTCCACGCCGTCGTCGTCGATGCACTGCCGACGCATCCCCGATGTGTCGGCGGTGCATCGGCGATGCGCTGCGATCCTCCGACCCCTTTGGAGGCCGTCTAGAAGCTTGGCATCGCTCGGACGCGAGCATTTGTTCTCGGCGAGAGCCATCGAGGACCATCCTGGACCATCGAGCAACAAAAACACGCACGAAACCGAAACATGCACGGGAAATGGACGTCCGAGCGACGGCAAGGAAGGACACCCAGACATGCCCGCGACGTGGCAGAAAGCCACGGCGGCAGGTTCATACTCGGTCGCTTCGGGCCTTCGGACGGGCCTTCGCCCGTCCTCCGGGGATCGTCAAGAAATGGCTCGCAATGACGAGCCAGTCGGGCGGGTTAGGGGGCCACATGCGAACCCTACCCCCACCCTCCCCCTCAGAAATCGTGGGGTGTAGGGGTAGGGTTCGCATGTGGCCCTCTAGCGGGTTGCAGTGGGGGGGAGCCCAGATTCGGGTATAGCCAGGACCCCAGGAAGGGGACCTGGTTAGTAGTAGGGCCCCAGAGCCCTTACATTAGCCAAGAGCACTCAACCGGGTCTGCCGTAGCTGGTGTTTTTTCGGGTGACGGCAGATCCGGTTAGTGGAACGGGGCGGGGGGGGGGGCGTCCCCCAGTACACATCACTGAACCAGGTTCCACGAAACCCAGTTCTGCCAACGCCCGACAAATGGGGGGGGAAGAAGAAAGGCCCAAAGGAGCCCTTGAGGGCTCCTTTTTTGGGCACCCACTGGCTCCCAAAAGGGCTCCAAAAAAGGCTCCATTTGGGTTCTTCTTCTTCCCCCCCACTTGGGCCCGTCCCACCCTGACCTTCCAGGAGGGCTAAAAAATAGCACCAGGACGTCGACGTCCTAATTCCTGTCGAGGTTTGAGGCAATCCAGATCGATCTATGGGTCTGGAGTGCTGTTTTTTAGCACTCTGGAAGGTCAGGGCAGTGCCACCCCGCCCCCGAGCAAGGGAGAGGCTCGGGACCTCTGGGGACCTCGGGCTGGAAACAGGCAGGGCCTCGCATGCCTGGGCACCGTCGCGCCGGCCAGAGGCTCCCTGAGACTCCGGCCAGGCTGCGCCCCCCCGGGGAGCCCAGTGGAGCAGCGGCGGCCTTGCCTCGCTGCCTCTCCTGCAGGACCGGGAGGCATGGTCAGACGCGGCCCGGCAGGAGGCGCGAGCGGCGCTGGCGCTGGCGTGCTTCCTGAACCTGGCGCAGTGCGAGCTACGGCTGTCATCAGAGGAGGAAAAGGTACCCGTACTCCTACCCTCCGCCCGTTTCCCCCTTTTCGGGCCTCTTGGGAGGCCCCCGTCGCCACCGTTGGATTCGCCTCGAACTTCTGCGCACCCCGGGAGAGGTCCGGGGAGTAGCGGTTTCCCCATGGTAGTCTTGTTTCGCCAATCCCCATCCCCGTTCCGAACCCTGCCATCCCACCACCCCAGAGGGGGATGTGCCCCTCGAGACCACGCCCTTGGGTATAGGGATCCTCGAAGAAATAACAACGCCACAACACAACCTTTTGGCGCTCCGCGTGGAGCGCCAACAGTTTATGCTTATTGCGTTTTCTCTTCTTCTACAAGCCTCGTCAAAAAAACATGAGACTGCTGAATTCGGTGATTGTGGGGTCAGCGCTACTCCAATGCTGACGGATGCCTGTTGACTCGGCCGCGGAGTTGTCCAAAAACCGACCCCACCCTCGCAGCATTGAAGAACGCGCTTTCTGACAAGTGCCCGAAAGCATCGTGCTCCAGGATTTCAAGTTCCATTTCTGAATATGTTTGACGAGGCTTGTAGGGATGGGAGCGGTCAAGCGCTGCTCAGGCTGGAGCGCTTCGCCGAGGCCGCCGAGCACGCGTCGGAGGCGCTCGGGCTGGACCCAGGCAGCGCCAAGGCGGTCTACCGCCGCGGTCTCGCGAGGCTAGGGGCCGGGCACGCGGAGTTGGCCCGCGGGGACTTGCTGGAGTCCGCGCGGCGGGAGCCCAGGAATTCCTCCTCCTCCTCCTCCTCCTCCTCCTCCTCCTCCTCCTCCTCCCCCTCCCCCTCCTCCTCCTCCTCTCTTCCTCCTCCTCTCTCCTCCTCTCTCCTTCTCCTCCTCCTCCTCCTCCTCCTTCTCCTCCTCCTCCTCTCTCCTCCCCTCCTCCCTCCTCCTCCTCCTCCTCCTCCTCCTCCTCCTCCTCCTCTTTTTCTCCTCCTCCTCCTCCTCCTCCTCCTCCTCCTCCTCCTCCTCCTCCTCCTCCTCCTCTCTTTTCCTCCTCCTTCTCCTCCTCCTCCTCCTCATCCTCCTCTCTGTTCCTCCGCTTCTCCTCTCTTTTCCTCCTCCTCCTCCTACTCCTCCTCCAGGCCTCTCGAAGAGGGCTCACTGGTGGCCCTATGTGTAAGTCGGGCATGTCCCTCTACAGGAGGAATCTTCGAACATGATAACAAGCAAAGTCTAGGCACTATTTTCCAATGTCCATAAGGGCTTCGCCCCCATGCCGCCAGTCCCCCTCTCTTAGAATGGGACTTGCCAGAGATGTGTTGGGATGTCTGGACGCTGACGTGAAGCAATGTCGGGACTTCACGCGAGGGCCTATATGAATTTACGAAGGTGTATGGCTTCGGTCGCGCGAGCATTGGGTAATTATAACGGTTTATAGCTTCGGGGACGCAACTATTGTATAATGTACGAGGGCTTGTGGCCTCGGGGACGCAACGATTGTGTAATTTTCGCGGGGGTATGGCCTCGGGGGCGCAACTATTGTATACTTTGTTCAGTGATGTCTGGCCTCGGGGACGCGAATCTTGTATCAATTGCAAGGGGTTGTGGCCTCCGGGGCGCAATCACTGTGTCATTTACGAGGGTCTATGGCTTTGGGGACACGAATATTGTGTAATTGTCGAAGGTTTGTAGCCTCGGGGGCGCGCATCTTTCTTAATTTACGAAGGTGTTTGGCTTCGTGGGCGCGAATACTGTGTAATTTACAAGGATGTATGGTTTCGGGGGCGCGAGTATTGGGTAATTTCATAAGGTTGATGGCCCTGGGGGACACGAATATTATGGCCTCGGGGGGACGCGAACATCTCGTAATCTACTAAGGATTATGGCCGCGGGGGGGCGAAAGTCATATATTCTTACGTGTCCCACGACCCCCCGGGAATTCAGACAACGCGATTCGGGGACGCTAGCCAGGACGCATTTCGGCTCCCCCCCTCGCTCGTCCAGCAACAATTCACAGTAAGGAAGCAGAACGCAGGACTTTAACTGTGGAAACTGGGAACTGCCACTGGCACAGGGAGCTGCCGGCCTAATCTTCGCACCTTGATGGCCCCGCAAGGGGGGCGGATTTGAGACTACGGTTGAGTAACTTCGGACCATGTTTTTTGTGGTCCTTCCAAACATCCGCCCGTCGGAGGCGGACATGCCCGACCTGGCCCTGCATGGCTCAAAGGGGGCCGCAAGGGGGCGCCAGGCGGGGCCCCCGCGCTGTCCCCGAGGGGGGCCGCAGGCTCGAGCAGTGCCGAGGCGCCCCTGGCCCTCTCCTGGGGGCCCCGGCTGCGGATGTTCGACTAGCCCTTCTGGTGCTTTGCACTGTGCTCGTCGTCGTCGTCGTCGTCGTCAGTGGGATTGTTTGGCCCGCTCTCCCGGAAAATCCTTGTTGGAGTGTGTCTGAACCGTGGGTCGCGCCCGGGTCGTTCGCATGGAGATGTCGGCCACCCCGCTCGGAGCTGCCGCTCGCGCCGCGGCTGAGCGGGCTGTTGTTCGAGGCGTTGGCTGGGGTCGTCCCCCCGTGTTTCTTTCGGGGGCGGACAGACCTCCTACACTAGCACGTCGATGAGCGACTTGGCCGTTTTCGGTTCGCGAGGGGGCGTCGCGGCCGTCATTTCTGCGGGTCCAGGTCCGTCGGTTTCGGTCCCAGGCCGCTTTCACGAAAGGGAGGTTTTTTTAAAAGGAAGGTTTGTCCACCGCCGACATGCTGTTCCAACCTTCTTTAGCCTTGACTGCCATTTCGAGCACCGTGAAGGTACCGAAATAGAAAGCTGTTCACGTGCCGGGCCCTGGGAGGCGATACTCGTTCGGCATTGTGTCGAGACTTTTCTGGGTGCTCGACATTATTTCTGGGATGTTGTCCTGAAGTACGATGGGAGCAACATGAGCTTCGCGCGAAATGTTCTAGAACATTTCTGGCTGAGGCCGTCTTGTCTTGTCACAGCGGGCATATGCTCTAAGAACCTTGCTTCTACTATCCGAACATCCCTTGGTTCTCAGAACACTTCGTGGTAGTCCTGGGGGAACTGCCAGGACGGTCGGCGCCTGCTCGACAAACGACCCAAGAGGGACCGAGATGGCCCGAGAGGCCGCCAAGGCGCCCCGAGAGGTTCGAGGGCATCCAGGAGCGCCGGGGTTCGAGGGTATCCAGGGCATCCAGGGCATCCAGGGCATCCAGGCCCAGATCTGTGCGCGTTTCAGTCCCGGCGCCTTTCCTCGCCTGCGGCCTGCGGGGCACGCTGTCCGTCCCCAGGGAAGGGGGGTCGGGACCTCGGGGCCGGGGAAGACTCGAGGTCGCCGGCACTCGGGTTTGCGGACGCGCTTGTTGACGAGCCCGTCCTGGATTTTGACGGTCCAATTTTCGTGGGATGTTTGCATTGGGAGTTCGCGTCAAATCTCAGATTGGGTCTCGTCATTTTTTCCTGCCTGCCCCGTCAGGCCAGCTCGAGTCCCCCGAACCCGAGTCTTACGTCTCCCCAACTGGGGCCGCGCATTGAAGACATAAGATCGTCGGATGTCCGTGGATAGGGTCGCAGGATCGCGCCGCATCGCCGATGCATCGGCGATGCGGCTCGATGTGGAGTCCGATCTTCTCCACGCCGACGTCGCCGATGTATCGCCGACGTTGGCGACGCATTGCCAATGCGGCGCGGTCCTCCGACCCCATGCGCTCGAGCCGCATTTGGGAGGCCTCTAGGAACGCGGAGATCCGGGCGAAGCTGCAGGAGCTCGCAGTAGAAGAAGAAGAAGAAGTTGCACCACATTCAGAGGAGGGAGAGGTACCGACACCACTATGCCCGTTCCTGGAAGGCCCTCGCCGCGACGGCTGCATGCGCTGCGGAATCCTGGTCAGAGAGCTCCCGGAGACCAGGGAGCAGCGGCATCGGCACACCCCGTAGATCTCCTTCCGGAGGGCCGCACGGATTTCTAGGATCGGCGCTGGACTTCCCAGCCCTCGGCGCCGCCGCTGGCGTGCTCCGCGCGCCAGGGAGGGGGGCGCAGCGCCGATGTCCGAGTGAAGTCCGCGCGGACGGGCCTCCGAACGTGGACTGTGGCGCTGTCTTCTTCAGGGTGAGCGGCGTCAGCGGGGGAACGCTCGGGGACGGATGCATCGACCCCCAGTCGCCCACTCACCGCCGATGGGGGCCCGATTGCCCCCATGGGCCTGTTTTCCACCACCACAAGTTGGAGGGGGGAAGGACGTGGAGGACGAGGAGGAGGAGGGCGAGGAGGAGAAGGAGAAGGAGGAGGAGAAGGAGGAGGAGGAGGAGGAGGAGGAGGAGGAGGAGGACCCCCCCTCCAGCTTATGGTGGTGGTGGTGGAAAACAGGCCCATCATAGCCCATCCCCGCCCAGGAGCACGCGGATCTGCACCCGGGGGCCTATCGCCCACTGGTCGGCGATGCACTTCCGATTCCATGCCGAGGTTTCCGTCCCCCCGTGAGCCAGACCCCCCCCCATTCGTCGTCAACCATCATCCTCTGCTTACCAGCCTGGAACCTATCCCTATCCCTATGTTGGGCATCGCCTCATCACGATGGCGATCGTAGGGATTCCCTCAGTTTCTGATGGTGCATCCCTAAGATTGTCATCGCTTTTTGGCGTGTCAATCTTAGGGATAGGGATACGTTCGAGGCTGGTAGTCATCCTCTGCGCCCAGGAGTGCCAGGGCCAGTTGCGGGCGACGGAGATGTCCGCGAGGAGCACGTTCGGGGGCATGTTCGGCCGGGGATCCCCGGCGGCGCGCTGGAGGGGGCGGGCCGGGGGTGAGGGGGGGGGGGGGGCGGCGTGGGGGGGAGGGGGTGGCGCGGCGCCTACCTCGGATGTTCCCGTGTTGCTTCCTGGGAGGTTATCATTGCCTCTCTCTCGCCTTCTCGTGCCGCATGTGCATGTTTCCCGCTGGCAGGGTGCATCAATGCACACGTGCTAGTAAGTACATACATAGATCAGCAAGGCTACCGGCACGATGGCAACATAACGCATGAATCCGAGACGGACCCCATTCTTCGAGGCATCATGTGAAGCCTTGGTGGCGAGCTTCGTGCTCAACTGAGCGGTGCAAGAACACGGAGCCGCCTTTGCCGACACTGGCGCGCAAGCTGCCCGCGTAAGGTCGCGCGCAGGCGCCCTCGTCTCCACTGGCGTGCCGCGCCAGCGGTCCGCGTTCGCCGCCGTGCGAGGTCACTACGTCATCTCGCGTGAGAATTTCAGCGAGCGAAGAACGGTATAACATCAACTTTCTCGCCGTCGGGGACACCTGCCCCTGGGCGGCTGTAAAGTTTATACCCCTACGGTGCCACCGTAAGGGTAGAAGCTTTCCAGCCGCCCTGGGGCAGGTGTCCCCGACGGCGAAAAAGTTTATGTTATACCGTTCTTCGCTCGCTAAGAATTGTCGTTGATCGCCGCCTGGCTGGTTCTTTCGCTCCTCCTCCGCCAGCTGGCGCCGTCCGCCCCTCTTCCCGGACTCCAGTGCTCCAGGGGTGGCGCGGCGGGCGGCGGTGACCTCGCTGCGGGGTCGGGAGGCGAGCCGCTCGCCCCCGGCGATGGGCCACGGTGGGTTCTGTGCCGAAGAAATCTTCAGCGTGATGGCGAGACGGGCCCGAGTTTGCCGCAGAGGCGGTAAGCTCGGCCTCGCTCTCGACTGTGCCGTGCGGCCGCAGTGCTGTGCGCGTCGAGGCAGGAGCTTGCCTTGGTGACAATGGTTACGCCAAGCACGCTGGAGCCTCCTAGACGGGCGAACGAGGTGTAAAAAAACAGCCTGCGTTGCACAGGGTATGGCGACGCCAGCAAGCCCCGTGGGCAGTCGGGCGCTGGCGGCGGACGCACCGAGCGCAAGAGGCCGATGGCCTCGGCAAGGGGGCGAAAGAGACCCTCCATGCCAGCTGCTTCTGCGCGCGGTGGCGGAGCCGCGGACGCGCTGGGGGTCGACGCCTCCTCCCACGTCGCCCCTCCCTCGGCGGCCCCCGACGGGGGGATGGCCGATGCTCGCCGGGGGGGGAGGCAGCTTCGACCAGGAGGGCCCAGCCCAGGAGGGACCAGCCCACGGGCACTCTGCAGCTGGCTGAGCTCCTGCCCGGCGAGGTGATTAGTGCTGGCCCCAGGGAGACTGGACGAGGACCTCCGCCTCTGCACCTACAACGGCAACGCGTGGAACGCGGCCACCAGCGTCCACGCGTGGATGCGCAGGCGGGGGATCGAACCGCACATCATGCTAGTCCGGAAGGCTCGCTTTACATGTTCCACGGCGGAGGAGCGGGCCCACAAGGCTGGGCCAGCCGTGGTGGCCAGCAGTCGGTTTGCTCAGGAGTCCAGCAGACTGGTGAGGCAACCTCCCACCTCTTGGGCTCGGCCCGCCACCTGCGGCCGTGGACACGTTTGACAGCACAGGGTGATCGCCCGCAGGCTGTCCCGCAGAACGGGCACCAGCATCACCATGGTTTCGCTTTACCTGGAGGACGGGGTCGGGCTCGAGGGCGCCAGCCGCCAGCTCCTCGAGGACCGCCACGAGTGGTGCGCCCACCTCGACGCGCCCATCGCCATCGGCGGCGACTGGAACGTGGAGGCCAGGGAACTCGCCGACTGTGGCTGCGCGAGCTCGTTGGCGGCGCCATCGTTGCGCCAGGCACGGCCACCAGCAAAGATAGCGAGTACGACTACTTCGTCATTTTCACAGAGCTGGAGGAGATGGTCGGCTCGATCGAGGCCCGCCTGGACACGCCCAGCGGACCTCGCGCGGCGGTCGCGCTGGCGCTGCGAGGTTGCTGGCAGCGGCCCCAAGTCTAGACCCGGCGGGCGCCCAAGCGTTTCGAGCTGGAACGCGGATTCGGCATCGAGTCCAGACATAGAAGAGACGTTGCGGCGGCCGCGCTGCCGTGGCCCCCGCCCGACGTAGGCCCAAGGGGCAGGCGCAGGGCTGGTTCAGGCAAGCGGAGGAGGTGCTCCAAGCATTCCACGACATCTCCTACAGCGAGGCTCGCTATTGCAAGGGCAGGGCCAAAGGCCCCAGGACGGTCACCACCCCGCCGGAGGCTGATGTCCAGGCCGACCGCATGGGCAGGGCCTCGCCTGTCACGCAGCTCTGGCTGTCGGTGCGCCACCTCACCAAGCGCAGGTGAGACCTCCGCCCAGGGGGGGGGTGGCTGGCAGTCACCGAGCCAGGAGCGGCGAGCAGCTCCGCGCCTCTGCCCAGAGGCTGGCGCTGAACTTCCAGGCCCCGGGCATCAGCACGTTCGACGGCGCGGTCGTCGACAGCTTCTGGGGCGAGAGCGAGCAAGCTGAAGTGGGTCGAGTTCACCAACGAGCATTCGAGCGCCGGGACTCCATTGCCCAAGGTCTTCAAGGAGGCCCACGGCGAGCCTGCGCCCATCCTGGAGCGCGGGGCGGCCGACCCTGCGTCACTTGCCCAGCCAGCGCTAGGGGGGGCGCCGGCGGCATGGCCCCCTCTCTGGGCCAAACCCCGCCGCGACGTTCAGGGGCACCTGGCCCCCCGGCATTCCAGCGGCCGGTCGTTGCAGCCCATCGCGGTGGACGATGTCAAGCTGGCGGCCCGCAAATTCCCGCATCGCGCAGGGTTGGAACGCGACTGCTTCCACCCGAGACTTCTGCTGGAGGTCGGCGACGACTTGTTGTTCAGGTTGGCCGGCCTGCTCAATGCCTGGGGGCGCAGCCCCTGCTGCTGCGAGCACTGGGCCATCACCATGGTCTTCCTGCCGATGCCTGACAGCGGACAGCGGCCCATTGTGCCACCGCCGCCGCCGGCCAGGATCTTGTCGCGCATCCGCCAGAAGGCCTGCTCCGGGTGGGGGTGCAACATCGACCAGTCGGCCTTTCGGGGGGCGTCCTCGGCTGGGAGACGCGACGAAGCGGTTTGGCTTCGCAGCGTCGTCGCGGCGCGCCACGGACTCCCGGGGGGAAGCGGCCTCTGTTCGCGCCGATATTGCAAAGTACCACGAACACATCGGACACGAAGAGCGTCGGGCCGCCGCTTAGGAACAGGGTCTTGACGCGCGCCTGCTCAAGGCACTCTTCGCGCGCCTGGCTCCGAGGAGGGCGCGTCGGCGCTTGCCTAAGCGAGGCCATCGCGGCCGACGGCGCGGCGGTTCCCGGCTGTTCTTGCGGCGCCGCCCTGGCCTAGCTCCTCCTGCTCTCCGCCCTGCGAGCTACGCGGTGGCGGCTTGAATCGCCAGGGTGCTCAACGTGGTGGACGACGTCTCGGCGCTCGCGACGGGGCCGCCCACCGCGGCGGGCGGCGCTGAAGCTGGGGGCCTCGCGCGGAGCCATCTGCGCCGAGGTCTGGGGGGGGCCCGCCTGCCGCTGAGCAGGCGCAAGCCCATGGCCCTAATGCGACAGTCTGGCGGGGACCTCGGGCTGGAGGACGTCTTAAGACTATCGCCGCGCCCTCAGGGGGCGACGCCGCTTCGGAGCCACGCCGCGGAGCGACCGCGACGGCGGGGCCCGAGAGGCGCGCGATGGCCCGAGGGCGGATGCGCGCCGGGTTTTTCAGGCCAGGGCGGGATCGCGCCCGCGCCTACCACGGAGAGCCGACGGCCAAGGCCACATGGGGTTCCGCCGTCATGGGAGCTCCGAAAGGGCGGCTCCGCCAGCTGCGAGTGGGCGCTGCCGAGGCGCGAGGCCGCTTGCCGCGAGGTGCGGCCCTGGGGCTGGCCAGCCTCTCCCAGTGGAACGGCTGGGAGCGCGGCCCATTCGTCATCATCGCCGAGACGGCGCTCATGGCCTACGTAGAGGTGGTCTGCCCCCCCGCTGCCACGCGCGGCTGCCCGCTCTTGCGCGGCCAGGGGCCTGGCCGACGCCGAGGGCGGCGAGTTCGACGCGCGGAGGCACTCGCGCGCCGTCTTCGGCCACGTGGTCGCCGTCGACAGCCGCGCGACGCGTGGCCTCTTGCAGGGCCCCTGCGCGCGGGGCTGGAACGTCCCGCTCTTCTGGCAGCCGGCCCTGGACCTCGCGAGGTCTGAGGCGCGCAGCTGGTCGCGGGCCAGGGTCGGGGCGGCAGGCCCGGGGCCCCTCGGCCCCGGCAAACTGCCGGCTGCGCGGTTTCAAGGGCGGCTTCCTTTATCAGGCGCTCCAGGTGCGAGGCCCAGGGTGGATCGAGACGCGAGTTCCTTGACCCCTCGCCGAACCAGGCCGCTGGCGCAGGCGATGTCTTTGGCCACCCTTTCGCGGAGCTATTCGCCGGGGGGCTCTTCGCTGACATATTTGGGCTCCTTCGGCGGACGAAGCGGCCCGTGGGTGATTTCTTCCAGTGCTCCACCGGCGGGTCAAGCGTGGGCCCTGCCTGAACGGAGTGCAGATCTTCGCGGGCGGTTCGGGAGTGGGCAAGGTTCGCCCCGACCTGCTCGCCGCGGGCTGGGACGTCGTGGTCTGGCCAGAGACGACGAGGACTACGCGGTGAAGGCGGTCACGGGCACCGCGGCTGGAGGCGCCTTCTGCCTGCGCATCGACCGCCTATCCACCGCGCGCAGCGCGGCCAGCCCCGAGGCCGCGCCCCCCTCCGGGAACCAGCGGGCTCGCGTCTGGGCCAGGGGGGGGCGCAGAACAGCTCCAGGGGGCCACGGCGGTGACGGCCCACCTTGGCCGGCCGGCTGTCCGCGACGGCCTGGCCACGCAGTTCGAGCTGGCTGGCAGCAATCGCGCGGGCAGGCGCGCCAAGGAGGGCGCGTTGGCCGCCGGGGCGCCCCTGGCCGACATGGGGATGCTCGAGGGCCGCCAGGCAGCGCAGCGCGCGGCCTCGCAGGAGGTCCACGCGCCCAGACTGGGCCCCCGGACTTCATGGGGGTTGGCGCGCGCGAGCGGATCGAGTTGGGCGACGCGCCCGCTGGCGAGCCAGGCGACGGAGACGGCGCTCCTGCGGCCAGCTCTCACCGCGCAGACGGGAGCCAGAGGGTCGCCGAGACTGACGGCGCTCTCAGGCCGTGGCGCGAGCGCAGGCGCGCTCTGCTCACGGCGCCGTGCTTCGCCACTGAGAATGGAAGAATGGCCGCCAAGTCCAGCGCCATCCTTCTCTTTTGCACCGCATGCGGAGGCTCTGTTTCTGACGGGAAAGGCCGAGGCCTCAGGGGGAAATGTCCAGGAGGCCCGCTCCCCAGTGCCAAAAGGGTAGTAGTCCAAAAGGGTTCCTCGACCGACGGCCCGAAGAGGCCTGCTGTCGTGGAAGATTTGCCGTCCTTCGGGCTCCAGCTGGCCCGATCCCAGCCATTGGGGTCGAATGCCTTCGAGGCCGTAGAGGCCAGAGCCGAAGCCTTTGCATCCAAGCATGGGGTCCATGCGGCCAAGGGCCTCAGTGGCCCAGAAGATCCTCCTGACGCCTGGTCCTAGCTCCGCTGTGTTTGCACCCCGCGGCCGTCGGGCTCTCGCGGAGCGGCAAGGCGGGGGCCTCTGCGTGTGTGCGCGCTGCACGCAGGAACGAGGGCCGGGGTCGCGGGGGGTCTCTCGGTCGGAATTCGTTGTGCAAGACTTGTTGGTCGAGTCTAGCCTCCTCCTCATCCTCCTCCTCGTCCTTCTCCTCCTTTTCCCCCTTTCCTCTCCCTCATCATTTTTTAGACGCCGTGCTCGAGACGGGCTGTTTCAGATAGACCGCGTGGCGTGTTGTCTACGGGCAAACGGATTCGAGTGCCTTCCCTACTCTTGTTTAGCCGTCAGTGTGGGTTGCGCTTGGAGTGCGTGGCTGGCTGGCGCCACGACAGAAAAATGTCCAACTTCGAAAGAGGCGCGCTAATTATTCCCAGCAGCCTGCGCGCGCACGTTTTTTTGCCAGGTGGCCAACGCCGTCAGATAAACAAGCGCTGCTGCCAATCAGAAATCTGCGGCTGCTGCCCCGCATTCGCTTCCAAATCCGCAGTCGATCCCGGTCCCGCTCCGATGCGGCCCGATTTGGCGCGCGTTCTGATGCCTTCCCGACTGGATGCCGACTGGTCCAACTCTCTTATTCGCTTCGCCTTTTCAGTAGCAGCGTCATGGCGCGCCCTGTCATCGCCCATACAGGCCCGATGGCTCACCCCGCCCTAGATTTGTGGACTCGCTGTCGAAAACTTGTCGTTGATCCATCGGCGATCTATCGCTGATTCCTGGCGGACGCTTCTCCCCAAAACCTGCCGTCCCTTCCATCCTTCCCCGTCAGGTCTCGGCACGGACGACATGGGTACATAATGAATGGGTGCAATGCCTAACAGCAGTTCCTGTTCAGTTTGAACTGGACTCGCTGTCCGCGCCGCCGCGGCCTTTTGTCCATTTGAGACAGAAGGCCGCCTGCCTAACAGCGGCCGCTGTTGGTTTGGGACAACAGTTGTTGTTGGGTATTGTGCTATTTTTTCTGTACCCATTTCGGGTGTCCAAATCAGCTCTGCCCCCTCGCGCGCTCCGCCAGCATCCATCTACGCCGAAGGGGCGGGGACCGCACCCAGCCAACAGCGGGCCAGCGGCGCCGCGGGCGGCGCGGCGGACTCCTGAGCGGTGGCCGGGGGTTCCGCGGGCACTTCGGCGGACCAGAAGACGCCCCCCTCTCGAGCCAGAAAGGATCCACGCCCCCCGTCCGGGGCGGGAATTTATCCATGACCACCGCCTGGAGGATCAGTGATCGGAGCTTCGGCAGGCGGTGGATGTGGACATACTCGGGCCCCCGGGGGCCGAACTATGTCCACATCCACCGCCCGCTGGAACACCAGGACGTCGGTTCCTAGGCGGCGGATGTGGATAGATCCCGGCGCCGCATCCCGTGAAACTCGGGTCGGACCCATCGTGCCGCGCCAAGGTCCTGGCATCGCTCGGACGTGTGCATTTTTCCTTCGGCGAGGACCATCGAGGAGCATCCTTGATCATGTGGCGAAAAAACCACGCACGAAACCAAAAAAAACACAGGGAATGGGCGTCCGAGCGATGGCCAGCGGGAGCATCGGCGATGCGGCGCGATGTGGGGGCCGTCTCTCGTTCCGCGCCAGCTTCGCCGACGCGTCGCCGACGTCGCCGGGGCATCGGCGGTGCGTCGGCGAAGCGACGGCGGCCCTGCGACCCCATCCGTGCGGACGCCGCATCAACAGAAACAGTCAGGAGGAGAAACAACACACAGACACAATGAAGTGTCGATTCGCCAGGAAATATTGGAAAAGATGGGCAGTGGGGGGGAAGACAGAAACCCAGGTAATACGGGAAACTATGGGGAATCTTTGTATTTGTGTGTTCATTTGTGTGTCCCAGGGCCCCTTCAACACAGGCCCAGAAACAGTCAGGAGGAGAAAAAATACACACAGACACAATGAGTCGTCGATTCCCCCGAAAATCTGGGAAACTATGGGCAGTGGGGGGGAAGACAGAAACCTTGAAAATATGGGAAACTATGGGGAAGCTTCTTGTTTGTGTGTATTTATTCTCTTGCACAGCTGTGCTCTAGAGCTCGGACATCGTTATTTTCGTGTCGTGTCGTGTCGTTCGTCCCCCTGCCCCCCCCTCCCTGCCCCCCCCCGTCCAGGCTCCCCAGGGCAGCCCCCCTGGGCCTCGGACACCTTTATTTTCGTGTCGTGTCGTGTCGTTCGTCCCCCTGCCCCCCCCCTCTGCCCCCCCCCCGCCCAGGCTTCCCAGGGCAGCCCCCCTGAGCCTCGGACACCTTTGTGCAAGAGCCAGGGCACGCGTGCCACTTGTTTGTGTGTCCCAGGGCCCCTTCAACACAGGCTGGAGCAATTCTTGGAGCGGTGCCGGGGGGCTGGCAGGTGCCGGGTGCACGGAGGCCGCGCGGACCTCCCAGGGCCCACGCCGGGCCCCGGGGCCGTAATTAACATTAAGTCGGGCCTGTCCCCCTACAGGGGGGCTTTTCGACGAAAAATAGAAAATGCCCCCCAAATAGTCAAACAATTATCCCAAAATAGTCTGGGGACTATTTTTTGAGTGTTTTTGTTGCCTTTCTGGGGCATTCTTGGGGTATTTTTAATTTTTCGTCGAAAGTCCCCCTGTAGGGGGGCACGCCCGACATAACCGTAACAAAAAACTTCAGGATGAGAAGCTGGCCTTGGGAAAGGGCCGGTCTTTGTCCAGTCAAGCCGTGGCGAAGAGTCCTTGGCGTGCCTATATCGGAGACTGGAGCAGATACATTACCAGTGGCGGGCTGTCTCTCAATTCCAGGATTTTTTCGAGGGTTGGGGACGACGTCGGAGTGGTGTGGTGTATACTCTTTCCCCGTTTTCCCAGGGAAACGACGACAAATGTATACACCAGGATCCGTATACACCAGGATACGTTTTCCAGTGCGAGTTTCAGTGCGGGGCGGGAAAAAGTGTCGGTGTATAGAGTTCGGATCCTTACTATAGGTCTACCAAACACTGTTCTAAGAACCTCTTGAGATTTCCACGAAATGTTCTTCGAACAAGTCTGGCTGGGACTTTCTTGTTCTAACACATCGGGTGCATGGTCTAAGAACAGTGTTTCTGTTCTTGGAACCTTTGAAGGGTTCTAAGAACATGTCGTGGTAGGCCTACTGGAATGCCGGGACGGTCGGTCCCTGCTCAATCCAGGGGCCGCGCACCGAGCAGACTGGGACATTGCATTTTGCGTACGTGTGCCGTGCTTGTTATTCTGCCACTGTCACCCAGATTGCCGGGCCGGCCAGTCGGTCGGTCAGCTCCGCAGCGGTGCGGTGCTCTGCTTCGTTTCGTTGTGCCATTTTGTTGGAACATGTTTCGCACTCGAGTCGGGCCGGACGAAAGGGGGATTGGGAAAGGGGGGTTACGAAATTTGCTGCATGCAGCTGGTATCGGCCCCACCGAGGAGCCCATTCCTCGATACATCGCCGCCTCCGGCGCTGGGAGGCAGCGCCGGGAAAATCAGCTACGTGAGCTGATTCTCAACCCCCCCCTTTGCTATCCCCCCCTTTCGCCCGACCCGGTCGAGGGCCGTCGAACACCGATGTGTGACGTGACGGAAGGATTGTCCCAGGACGCTCGAGGTGCCTCCCCATCTTCTTCTCGCGCCCACATCTCTCCGTCTGTTCAGCCGCGCCAGCTGCCCCGAACACAGGCACGGAAAACATGCTTGCAACAGTAACTGTGGTCACTTTCCGTTGCCCGATGTCCTGGAGGCCTGTTCACGTTGTGTCAGAGCCCCGAATCATCAGGGGTAACTCGGGTCAGGGCTAACTCGGGTTCGTTTTTCGGGAATCCGAACCCGAGTTACCCCGGACCCGAGTTACCCCAGATAATTCGGGCGTCCAGAGCCCCACATCATCAGGGGTAACTCGTGTCAGGGCTAACTCGGGTTCCTTTTTCGGGAATCCAAACCCGAGTTACCCCGGACCCGAGTTACCCCGGATAACTCGGGCGCCCAAGTCCTGGGGACTTGAGGAACGTCCCTGGATTTCACGGTTTGCTGGGACGCCTCCCAGGATCCAGGAGGGCCCGAGAAGCCTCCGAGGGGGGCCAGCTGAGATATCGGCGGTCCTCTTCCCCTCTTCCGTATTATCTTCCTTCCCCATCTCCTCCCTGCTCGTTCTGGAGTGCGGGGCCGAGGCTAGACGCAAGCCCGTGCCCCCCCGAAAGCTAAATCAGCGCTCTTGAGAGCCGACCATGTCCCACTTGGCCCTCTTCCGTCGACTAACTCTTCTTGTGTGGTCGTGGGAACGCCTTGCGTGAGCATCGTCTGCTCGGCACCAGTACGAGCATTACCCCGTCGGGCTCATTCGCAGGCGGCCCTTCAGAGCCTCCTCGTCCCCCTCGTCCTCTGATGCTCCTCCCCGTCGTCCTCCTCATCCTCGTCGTCCTTCTGCTCATCATAGTCCTATCATCATCCCATCCTCGTCCTAATCCCCACGTCCGTCTTACCTCGTCCTTTGTCATGCCTCCTCCATCTCCGCGCCCCCCCCTTCCACCTCGTCCTTTCTGCCGCCTCCCTCTCCTCGCCCCCTCCTCGCCCTGCATAACACCTCATCCTTCTTGTCATTCCCAATACATCATCCTTTTCCTCGCCCTTCTTGCCGCCTCCCCCCATCACCCTTGTCTGGTTCGATCAGATTCGCTAGTGATTTGGGCCTCCCCGATCCGATTTGATCTCGGTATTCCGTCGAAGCGATGCGTCCCGATGCTTGCATGGTGCTTCTGCGCATGCTGGCGCAGCCCAACCGATCCGATTCCGATCCCTTGCCGATGCCGACGCGACCCGATCCGACGCACGATCCTCCGCTCCGAGCCGATTTTGTCCCGATCCGATGCTGACCGCTCCTGCCCACGGCTACAGTCGGCCCGGATTACTAGGTCGACCCTGCCAGCTCAAGGGTACCCTTGTGTCCTGTGCCTCGCGACGCGTGCCTTCTTGCACTCCTATGGCGATGTGGCCCTCGGAAGGGTCTTGTGTCCTCTCGCGTGTCCTGTCCAATGAAGTCCGACTGTATCCCTCCCCCCAAAACCCGACAGTTGGGTCTTCGGGTTGCGTTGGGGTGGTCTGGTGGGCAGTCACGCGTGTGCCCTCCTCCTCCTCTTCCTTCTCCTACTCCTCCTCCTCCGCCTCCTCCTCCTCCTCCTCCTCCTCCTCCTCCTCCTCCTCTCCTCCTCCTCCCTCCCTCCTCCCTCCTCCCTCCTCCCTCCTCCCTCCTCCCTCCTCCTCCTCATCCCCCGCGCCCCCCCGGCCGCACTGTACTTCCGACCACTTGCCCGCCCCGACGGCGGCCTCCCACGGCGCCGGCTCCAACCGCTGAGCGGCCAGCTCTCTCCCCGCAGACATCTCCACCTCGCGCCGGCGCCCCGGCGACCTCGCGCCGGCGCCCCGGCGACCGCCCGCGGCACCTGCGCCCCGGTGCCCCCGTGCTCCAGGAGGGGACCACGCACACTGTTTTGGTCGGCGGGGCGAGAGCGAACCTCTTCCGCTAAAAGCTAGGCGGGCTGCGCACAGCTCTAATTGAGGAGACAGGGCACAGGCGGGCGGGGCCTCAGGCGGCCGGAGAGGGCGGGGCCCAGGGTGCAGGCGGTGCCGAGGGGCTTGCACAGGAAAAGGTGCGCCGTGGACAGGAGCCGGAGGCGAAGATCCGGAGGGTGAGCGATGTGGTGTTGCCGTCAACGGAGGGGACCAAGCACACACAGACACGAGAAATCGTCGGCTCAGGAATATGCTGGAAAATATGCGACGTGGAGGGGGGGGGGGGGGGGGGCGCAAACCCAGAGAGAAGATGGGAAAATATTCAGCATCCTGGGATCTGTTATGTGGATCTGATCTCTTGTACAGGGTGTCTAGAGCTCCGGCCACTTTGTTTGGGCACGGCACCGAACCCCCCCATCCTGCGCGCCACCTCCGCATCACCCCGCTCGCCACGCCCACGAGCCAGCGCGCCCCTTCCGCCCCGAACCCTTTATTTCGGCACGGCCCCCCCCCCTCCCCCATCCTTCGCGCCCCTTCCGCCTTACCCCACCCGCCAGCCAGCGCGCCCACTTCGCCCCCACCCCTTCATTTCGGCGGGGCACCGCCCCCTCCCATCTCGC